AGTAGCTATTAACGTGGACAAGCTAAACAGTTGGAAATAACTCTAGAGTTATTGATAGGAAGCAGGAATGGTAGAAAGATTTGGGAATCATGCAGGAAGTTGTTGGTGAAAGCTTTTGACAGAGATTATTGTAAGAAGACAGCATAAAGTATTAGAAAGGTGTGTAACACTTAGCCTAGAGGAAACAGGTACACTTATTGGTAGGGAAGAAGAAGAAAAGATGGAGGACAGGTAGGCAGAGATGTAACAGAACCATGTTATTTTACTCAAACTAATCTTTATCATCTATTTTCATGTTCCTACCCACTCTGTGTTTTAGAGTTGGAATGTATTGTGACTGAAAGTTACCTAATTATTTGACCTATGCAAGAATATTGAAACATCTCTTGATATTGATCTGTTTCACAAGTCAGCCAAATTCTTTTTTGGATATCTTTGACTATTAGAATATTTTTCATCTCTGGATGTGGTGGTTCATGCCTATAATCCCAGCACTTTGGGAGGCCAAGATGGGGAAATTTCTTGAACCCAGGAGTTAGAGCCCAGCCCTGGCAACATAGTGAGACCCTCATCTCTACAAAAAAATTAAAAGTAGGCAGTCATGGTAGTGTTCACCTGTAGTTCCAGCTACTCTGGAGGCTGAGATGGGAAGATTGCTTGAGCCTGGGAGGTCAAGGCTGCATTGAGCCATGGTGGTGCCACTGCACTCCAGCCTGGGCAACAGAGTAAAACCCTGTCTCAAAAAAAAAAAAAAAAAATTCTTTAAATTTTGCACCTTATTTAATTCCTTCCAATATTAGCAGCTTATACTCTTATATTAGTTATTATTATATTAGTAACCACTAGGACCTCTTCCTCCTTCTTTCAAGACTCTCTCTACCTGCTAGTATATACTTTGATTACAGCCAGTGGAAAGAGTACTTTACAGCCATTCTACGTATTACTGTTAAATCTTTACATGGTTTCTAATTTAAGTTTCACACACTGAATATTTTTAAACCACAACCAGAAACTTAAATGAAAAAATGGAAAACTAACCTAGAAAAATGATTAACGGCCAAGCACAGTGGCTCAACGCCTATAATCCCAGCACCTTGGGAGGCCAAGGTTGGCAGATCACCTGAGGTCGGGAGTTTGAGACCAGCCTGACCAACATGGAGAAAACCTGTCTCTACTAAAAATACAAAATTAGTCAGGTGTGGTAGTGCATGCCTGTAATCCTAGCTACTTGGGAGGCTGAGACAGGAGAATCACTTTGAACCCGGGAGGCGGAGGTTACAGTGAGCCAAGATCGCACCATTGCACTCTAGCCCAGGCAACAAGAGTGAAACTCTGTCTCAAAAAAAAACCAGAAAGAAAAAAAGAAAAGAAAAATGATTAACACGTATTTATATATTTTATATGGCTAAAGGTATGTTAGAATATCCCAGAGACTGGAATTATTTGTACTGGAGCTCTAGCACCATGTCATATTTGACTTCTAGTAGAACATGACCAAAACCAATAAATGGGGGGAAAGTGTTAAGAGTTATATTTGGTAAAGAAGATAGAAATGATTCAAATTTAAGGAGTTTGAGAGCAGACTAAGGAAAAAAAGGACTATTCAAATGAGAAAGGCGCAGCTCTGGTTGCTGTTTATGTGTATACAAATACTAGGATGGGACTGATATAGCTAAAACCTACGTATGTTATTAAGAAAAATGTTACACATAGGCTGTAAATTACTCAGTAGGCTTCATTCCTATTTAATAATTTCTAAGTGAAACTGATTTAATACTTAAGTGGAGTATCTACTGAGATCATTCACTGAATCGAAAATCAGTGGATAGTATAGTTCTTGACTTATTGAATACACCTGAATAATAAATTTATATTCTCTCTTGTCAATCATCAAGGTATAATGCATAGAGCAGATTTTACTTCTCCGTCACCACCTTTTTGTGTTTTAAATAGTAGTGTTGCCTTTCTGGTTCTGCAGTTTTGGTAGAAATTTTCCATCCATATCAAACAGTCCTGATTAGGTAATTCATAAAATTTATTATTTTCTAATTGGAATGTTGCTATTCATAGACTAGGTTCATGTATTTTGTTGGTTTTGTTTGTTTACAAGAGTAACTCACACTTATTGCCAGAAGTTTAGGAAATAAAAGTATAAAGAAGAAAGTATATATTGCAAGTCCTTACTCCCTTTAATTGAACCACCATTAATGGTGTTTTCTATATTTATGTACATTCTTTAACGAAAGTGGAATTAAATTATGTTTGCTTTTTTGGAACTTACTTTTTTTTAACACAATTTTTATATCCCTTACTCATGGATACATTTACATAATGTACAATTTTTGGTTGATTTAAACAGTACTGTGACACATATGTTGCACATTTATTTTTGTGCTTTTATCCAATCATTTCCTTAAGGTAGTGGAAGTAGAATTTGGGAGCCAAAGATATGTAATATACAGTCTTGATGTATATTTCTTTGCTTTTGTTTTAAACATTGTTAATGTCATGTAAATAATAAAAGGCTGATTTAAAAATAGTAAAAATACCCAAATTTTCTGCCATTAAATAACTTTCAGCTGTAAAATTAAAATCTACCCAAATGAATTTTCTTATCAGAAACCAATTCTACTTTCTGATAGAAAAGCAATTCTAAGCTGGGCACGGTGGCTTATGCCTGTAATCCCAGCACTTTGGGAGGCCACGGTGGGTGGATCACGAGGTCAGGAGATCGAGACCATCCTGGCTAACACGGTGAAATCCCGTCTCTACTAGAAATACTGAAAATACAAAAATACAAAAATTAGCCGGGCGTGATGGCAGGCGCCTGTAGTCCCAACTACTTGGGAGGCTGTGGCAGGAGAATGGCGTGAACGCGGGAGGCGGAGCTTGCAGTGAGCAAAGATCGTGCCACTGCACTCCAGCCTGGGCGACAGAGCGAGACTCTGTCAAAAAAAAAAGCAATTCTATTTTTTGGAATTGTTTTCTTGAAAAGAGCACATAGAAAGTGTGAAAGAATAGGATGAATCAAATTGCACTAAAAATTTCATAGGAAAATACCATCTAGCCTTAAAAATCTTCAAATTTTGTAATAAGTAAAATGAAAAGAAATTGGTGAGTAGAAATCAATGTGTAAATCGAGAATAGATGTGCTGGAAAAAAGATTATGGCCATCACATTGACCACTTTAGTATAGTTAGCAATTATTTGAGTGAATAATTAAATAATAAAATGTGGTTATCATTAATAAGTTGTTCCCAAACTCTTTGTATAAGTAGTATGTTTTCTCCCCCCAAACTTGTAATTCAAAATGTGCATTCATATTTTTTTTGGCAAGCAAAATGAACCCTTGGATTTGAACTCCCTTTGCTTTAACTCTTGGCTGTACAGATACTGCACAGCTATCAGAGGAATCAGAATCAATGTAATATACCTTTGGGCACATAATAGTCCCCACTTACATGTAAGGGGAGGCATTTGACCAGTTCCATTGCTGTAGTTGATCCACATTAATGTGATTTAAAAAAAACAAAACAAAACAAAAAAAACTGGCAGTCTCATTCAGGTTATCCAAGTATAATGATCATTTTGATTCATATCTGAGACCCCCTGAGATTTTAAGCATTATAACATCTCACTTCTTGTTTGTTCTAACTTCACCAACACTTAATTCAGCTATAGTTGATGTTGCAATTTAGATGAATGCTTGTTAAATATACAAAAGTCCCCATTCCATAATAGCCGCATTCCAGATTACCTCTTCTTCATAGTCTGGTCTATGCTGCTTTTGGTGGAAGTGCTCATTCTCTCCGGCTTGACAAATATCTCCCAGTCAAAAACATGATTATTATTAAAGACAAAAGGCACTAATTATCTTTAACTTGGATGCCTAGGAAGAAACTGTATCACTGTTCAGACCATTTGCTAAATCCTACGTGCAATTCAGGATAAATTTTGACCTAGTGTGTTTATATAACACATCCTGGAAAAGTATAATCCATTAGGGTTTGGGATAAAAGGTTCTTCTCTCTTTTAAATGTGAAATGTTTTGTTTTTTTTTTTTTAAAAAACAACTTGGAATAATAGACATTTTAATGTGTTTCTTTAAAGCATAGTTTCTAGGATTTCAGTTACTTGATACTGCATCACTAGTCCGTTTTCAAAGCAAAGTAACAAAAATTATTCTATGTTCAGAATTTTAAAAGGATGAAGAGTGAAGTAATTTTAACAGGGTGCAGTTGAGCCCGATTTCAAGACATTTATCAAGTACTTTGATTTTAATTACACAATATGTTTTTAGGTGATATTCAAATAGGATGACTTCATTAAATTTAGCACATTATATTTTAAGTTTATAGGGTTGTTTGGAACACATTTCCAATAGCTGCTTCATTGGAGTAGTGTTACCTTGTTATTTTTGTTCTGTCTTTATAGCATGGTAAAAGGCTTATTGTATTGCTGCTCTTGTCCATGCATAAGAATGTTGCCTTGGTATGTCAGTACCAGCTATTGGTAGTAAAATATCAGTCTAATTTAGAGACACTGGTACCACTTATCTCTAAAAGATGGTGATGAGTAAGCTTGTGGTGTAGTTTGTAAGCTGAGGACATTGCCAAATCCTTGTTTTCAGGCATATAGATTTTTAACTATACTAGTGAACAGAGCTTGGATCTAGACCTAGCAGCTGAGCCGCATTAATGGTGACATAATTTCATTACATTCTGAAGTACTCCATTGGTAGGATACCATTTTAGTCTTTGCTTTGACATGGTAAATGTCCATTATGTTGTCTCATAATGATATGGACTAATGCAATAACATGGTTAATCAATTCAAAGATAAAATTTCTTGAGTATGTATCTCCTGAAAATTGATAGGATGGTACACCAATTATGTGACTTTTTTTTTTTTTTTTTTTACTAATCTTATTAAAGGGGGAGAACATTAAATCTTTGAATACTGTACCTCAATTTTATTGTAATGATTTTGCTGGTTACCAGGTGGGGTGGCAGTTGAAAAATTTGGTGAATGCACTACGAGAGGACCCGAGTGGTGTTATCTTAACTTTGAAAAAGCGACCTCAGAGCATGCTTACCTCAGCACCAGCTTTACTGAAAAATATGAGATGGAAGCCCCTTGCTCTGCAGGTAATGAAGCTTAATCATAAGTCATACACCATCATTTTAGCCATAGATTATCTCAGTAATGCTTCTTTATTGTGCCTCATCTCAGCAGCATATGGATTAATCTTGTATGCTTTTGAAAAGTTGTTTGTGAAATGATCTCTTCACAGCTATTCTAATAGGCTTAATTGTGATGAAATCCGAGAGTATCTAAAACCCAAATGAAAAACAACTCTGCCTTAATTTGTAAACATTTAAAGCATAATTCCAAAAGGTCACAATTTATTTCATTCCAAAATATGAATAGAATGAAAATCAGATGGTTCATTTTTATGATATGATCTTCTATTTTTTGTTATACCCACATACTCTTTTAGAAGAAGCTAAGTGATAGTTTATAGAATTCTTTTAAATCAGTTCATTAAATAGTAATAGTAATTTATAAACAGTAGGAAAATGAAATTTTATATTAGTAATTAAAATGCACCTAGTACACACTAGGTGCAGTGACTCACACCTGTAATTCCAGCACTTTAGGAGGCTGAGGCAGGTGGATCACTTGAGGCCAGGAGTTCAAGACCAGCCTGGGCAACATAGCATAACCCCATCTGTACAAAAAATTAAAAACTTAGCCAGGCATGGTGGTATGCGCCTGTAGTCCCAGCTACTTGGGAGGCTGAGGCAGGAGGATCATGTGAGCCCAGGAGTATGAGGTTGCAGTGAACTATGATCATGCTACTGCACTCCAGCCTGGGCAACAGAGACTCCATCTCTTAAAAAGAAATGTGCCTTGTACATTCCTCCTGACTGATCGTTTTTCTCTTTTCACCTTGTAAGGTGGCAAAAATAAGGAAATTGTTGCACTAGAATTTTTGCATTTTTCTTCAGCATGAAACATCACTCTTCAGCATGAAATGTTGCTCTTAACATTGATAACATATTTATTAAGCATTATCTTCAAAGTTATAAAAATACGATTCTGATTGATGAAAGGCAAGGATGTAATGAATTTTCTTCTACTTCAGTCAGGATATAATTTTTAAACTTAAGTAATTTTTGTCCTTCACAAAATGTGCATTTTTAAAATGAGACTATTACCTTTTCTTAGAAGTTAATTAAAAAAAAATTAGATTGCCCATTGAACTGGAACATGGCCCATTATTCATATTAGAAAGGAAAGCAGTATATGAAATGCATTATTGTCACTGCTATGTAAATTGTTATTAAGCTCTATATTAGTACCTTTTATTATTCATAGATTTTTTTCCTAAGAATCAAAATTCTCCGTTATACATGAATGGCTTTATAGATTATAATGATTTCTCATTGTTTGAAACTTTACTACTTATTGGCCGTTGGCATTATACTTAAGTAATATAAAAACGCATATATGTGTCAACATTAAGGCCTTTAACATTTTAATGTGAATCTGTTTTTCAAGTTAATATATGTAAAACTGAATTAACATGTCCAAATCCATTTGACTTGCATATATGTTTATTTTAAAAGATACTTGATGATCATTACAGTTCAGAGGTCGGTGTTTGCCTCATTATCGAAGTCATAGATGAGTAGATCAGACTTTCCCATTACATCATTTTTTTTCTCACTGCGTTATAATTTGCTTTGTTCCCCCTAGAGTTTCCTATTGCCATGTCTTCCCCAAAGATCCTTCTTCAAAGTGTAAGGGTGTGGAAACCCTGAAAAAGAGGCCTGTACTTTCAGTCATTAGGTTATCTTCTCTATATATATGAGGTGAAATTTAATACCTCTTCTTTAGTCCCTCATATTTCACGTTAAACACCGAAAATACCCTAGTTTCTTGTTGATCCATGCACTCTGAAGGATTATCTCTAGCACATGCGTTTGTAATCTATTCCCCTGTTATATTCTTTTCCACATGCACAAACTGAAGTGGAGAGTTAAGGTAATGGCAGTACCCAGTTAAGAATCGTTTTTATATAAAATGCTAAAATAACTGAAAGACCAACTTTTTTGTTACATATACGTTTGGTATATGTATTCAAACCTAGAGAAAAAGGACTTGAATTTTAAAAATTACCTTCATATCATTCCTTACCCTGTAATTGCCTTACTCTTAAGGCACTGTTTCTAGATCCATTCCAAATTCTGAGAAATGTGCCTCATCAGATCACTAATTATTTTTATTCATCATTGCTTATTCAGCTATGCTGCATGTATTTGTAAATTTACTTTTTCACAGTGCTGAAATCTGAAAAGGAGGAAATCAGCATTATATAAGTGCTATATCTATTGACATTTTTGTAAATTTGTCATTTCAGCTGAATTTGGTTCACCTAAAATCTATTGGCCAAAGTCAACCACCAATAGATAAATAATACTATTGGTTGGGGGAGGGGAGACTGCTTCTAACATTTTTGAAAATTACTTCAGTTGTTGCCTTTTTACAGAGCAGAGGAAAGAGTACTGGCATTAATTAAATATTTTCTAGTGGCTAAAACAAGGTCTTAGGAGTGAGGACAATGGATAAGTCCTCTAACATACCACACCACTACCGAATCTCCCTGAAGAAGACCTGAAATTGAACCATTACAGAATTCTTCATTGATCTTAAAGTTCTGGCTTATGCTAAAATGCAAAGACACCTGAAAACATAATGAAAACTATCTAGTCAAAATTTTTATAGATCATAGATTTTGATACAAAAGATAGACAAAATCTCAAGATACCAGGATCTGGAGGATGAAGGTACACTGTCTCTAGAGGGGGAAAAGTTAAAGAAATACTAAGATGAGAAGATCTTGAAGGCAGTTTTGCATAAAATCATTACTTTATCTCAGGTCACCTTTTCTTCCTAGTACCTAAGGAACTACCTCAGACGTGAAACGTAACTGCTAAACGTAGTAACAATCCTCTGCATAGACAAGAGTGCCATTTTTATTGTATTCTTCCTTTTGGTAGGTGCAGAAATACACTGGAGCCAAAATGCCCATCAACTCATTCAAACATAAATCTTCAGCATTCAAACTTGAAAAAATGGAAATGAGGTTATTTCTTTTTTCACAGGGTGTACCAGTAGTCTACCAAAAATTATTTAAAATAGAGGATACAAAAGGAAAGAATCTGTGGCATTTATTTAACTCAATATGTCTATTTAATCTTTTTGAAAATACTATCCCAGGCTTAATTTACCTGATAGCATTTATAGATAAAATATAGGAAAGTTTGTAGTAGTATGAAGGTAGGCACTAATACATGTATCTTTTTAATGAACAAGTTTATCCTAACATAAGGAATAATAATTTTTTAAACTTATAAGGAATTGTTTTTAGCTATACAAATAAAACAACCTTATCTATCCTAAGGTAGAAGATTGTCAAAGAATATCACATGTTTTAATTAAAGTAGTAGTTTTATTTCTAAAAGTACTAAAAGCATAGTGACTTCCAATATTGATTAACTACGGTGATGAGTTTTGATTTGGATTTTCTTTTGAAATTCATTGATGAAATTACAGCCAAATAAACAAAAGGATACAATCCAACTTCATACTCACAGAGCAATTTCATTAGTACATTTCATTAAATTGGCAACTCTTTTGATGAATTCCTGATTTCTCAAATATTTTGTGATAGAACGGAAGGACTTAAACATCCCTTAGTCAGATACTACAAGCAAATTTAATAATATCTGGAACCTTTAATTCTGTTGTCATTTTCACCCATTTGTAAAAAGCAGAGATGTCTCATCTGAGATAGAATCTCTTATTCTAAGAAAACAAACCAGGGATTCCTTGCTTTCTGGGAGCTGCTTTTCAAAACATCTTTTTAGTGGCACTCTACTAATTTTCTGCATTTTGGTAAGCATGGTGATTGCTTATCATCAATTTATTCTAATTCAAAGAAAAAAAAAACCTCAGAGAACTGTGGATAAACCTCAAGGTATATGTTTAGATGTTTGTGGTTTTAAATTAATATGTGTAGGCCACGAGCATAGATGGGTGGTGTCCCTTTCTTCTTATGAGAGATATGTGGAAGAATTATCTGGACACTGCCAAGAATGTTTCTTGGAATCATCACTGGGAATCAATGATTTTTAAAACATTTAAAAACCCAGCTTTTTTTTTTTTTTTTTTTTGGTGAGAATGCATCTCAGAAATGATCACTAAGATCAGTGCTGGAATTCTCAACATAATGACATATATTGTTCAAGACATTTTTATATAAAATAACATCAAGCTGTAACATTATAATTATGTTCCTAAATTGTATTCTCATTTATAAATCTCTCAATTGATGCCATAGTTACTTGTACGATTTTGTGTTTTTCCATTTAAATTTTATTGTTTAGCATTACCTTGATGCCATTTTTACAGCACATTTAAATAACTTTGAGCAGAAAATAAATAGAAAAGAGTCATAACAGTCAATTTTGTCTATCAGCTGGTGTAACAACTGGAGAATATTGATTGCATTCAATTTCAAATACATACAGATATGAATGATTAAAGTCATTCTGGAAAATCAAAATACATAAGTAACAATAAAATTTAATATTCAAGTTGCAGGTCGATGTGACTGAAAAAAAAATTAGTGACAAAAAAATGTATATGTTTCTGAGAGTTTTGTTTTAAAGAGAGCAATAACTAGTATTAGGCATGGCCCTAGAGAAGAAAATAAAATTTTAACTAAAAATGTAATTGTGCTGACTGGGAGCCAGAAACAACTGTATGTTTTACATACTCAAATGAGTAAATAGCTGTAAGTAATTGTCAAATTTTAGCTCACCAGTGTTTAAGCAAATCAGTCAAAGGACCTAAGTCACATTTGTATTTTTGAGCCACATGCTTTCAAGATTTTAATAGTGGCTACAGATAATCACCTATAATGTAGAAATTGTCCATTCTTTCTTTAGTTAACATCCCAAAAATGATGTTTACTGTAATTTGAAAAAATGGAAGTCCGGTTTTAATGTTGCTGTTTAATTATGCCCATAAGGCTGGACAATGCAGGATTAAAGACACTAGTGTTAGCCTCAATACA